TCAAATAATTTGAGCATTATTGTGACAGTTGTAGTTAATGGAGAGTTATAGCCTATAAGATTTTAGATTTAGAACATAATTCCTCCCCAGTGTGCGATTGGGTATAATTCCCCTCCCCCAAATCTGGGTTCTGGAAGGCCCCTGCAGTAAAACTTAGAAATAAAGTAAAATCTTGCTCATGAAAACAGTACTACAGGGGTAAAATAATCTTAACCTCATGTTTTTAGTTATTTTTTAAAAATAATGTTGGAATTATATTTTAATGTGTATATTTGTCTATTGCTGCAGTCAAAATGCAGTATTTATTTGTGCCTTTGTGCTTTATTGATTTATTACAGTTAAAATGAATGGCCATGGTAATTTTTCCTTGAATTTCTGAAGGTGCAAAGTTCCAGTTAAACAGTAGGGTTCACCTATTTTTATAATAAATACTCTGTTGCATGACATTTTGGCTACTGATACTTTGTATGGAGAGGAAGGAATTTGGGTAAGAATGATAATGAAGTCTGAAAGGAATATATATATATATATATACATATATACTTATATGTACTGAAAGTAAAGAAGTAAAGAAACTTTTCTGAGTCAATAAAAAGTATTTTGGGAATATGCAAATTTTAAGGCTGACGATTTTTGTATCCAGGGAAGAATGACAATTATAAATGGCTTTGTATTATTACTTGTGTTTTTTATTTTTTTAACAGCTTTCCTACAAGGCATTAGCTTTTTTAATATATGTGACAAAATAGCATTTTAATAGTATCTCAGTTTGCATTAGGATATGAAACAGATGTTCTCTGTAAAACTATGTGAAAGCCTTGTGTTTCTTTTTTTGTGTTATGAATTTCAAAAATTTTGTAAATTAATAATTGAATTGTAACATATATAAAGATAAAATAGGACTTGTGAAGGGATATGGAGCCCTTTTTGCTGAAGACTCCTTCTATAAGTATGAAAGTTTAGATTTGTATGTAGCTAGCAGTGTAAATTTCTCTGATGATCTTCATGACAAGCATTACATTTAGTTCGCTGCAGAAATAATTATAGGTCAGCACATTAGAATGTACATCCTGTGCTAATTTCTAGAGTGCATTAATTATATTTATAATAAAAAAGTGAATAATTTAAGAAATTATTTTATCTTGTAAATACACAAAACCTATATTGTAGAGATTGTTCTCATAAATAATCTCTTATTATGCATTTTATATACAATAGTATACTTCGTTTTAAAATGAATTCATATACCTAATTTTTTATTTTCTTACCTGACTGCCATATGTATTATGAAATCAAACGCAAGGTACTTATTTTTATTCATATTTATTCAGTATTTCTAACTAGAGAACAAAATAATTCACAAAAGCCCACTGATCTCTGGATATCAGTCAGTTTAATTACTTGAGAAAACTGTTTAAAAGGCCATCCAGGAGCTGTAGAGATAGCATAGAGGGTAGGGCATTTGCTTTGCATGAGACCGACCCAGGTTCGATTCCCAGCATCCCATATGGTCCCCCAAGCACCGCCAGGAGTAATTCCTGAGTGCATGAGCCAGGAGCATCAGCCTGTGCATCGCCGGGTGTGATCCAAAAAGCAAAAGCAAAAGAAAAAGGCCATCCAATTGACACTGTCACTGTCCTCCCGTTGTTCATTGATTTTTTCGAGCGGGCCCAATAACGTCCCCATTGTGAGACTTTGTTTTTACTGTGTTTGGCATATCGAATACGTCATGGGAAGCTTGCCAGGCTTTGCCATGCGGGTGAGATATTCTCAGTAGCTTGCCGGGTCTCCGAGAGGGGCGAAGGAATCGAACTCGGGTCGGTCATGTTGGCTGCATGCAAGGCAGACGCCCTACCCATTGTGCTATCGCTCCAGCCCATCCTGTTGACAACACATATTATGTAAGAGAATACTTTACATTCCCAGAATAAAGCTGGGATAATTATAAAAAATTTTTTTAATTATATTGCAATATTTGAAATATAGGTATGACTAACTTCTAAGTAGTTAATATACCAAAAAAAATCACATAAATGATACTTCCAGAAGCTTCTTATTTTCACTGTCATAACCTAAAGATAACTAATGATAGATACCCATTCTATATCAACATGTAATAATTTACATGACTATCCAACTGAATCACAATTTACCTTTAAAACTATTAATATGTTCCCAGGCTTTGATACAATTTGATATATGTATAAATGTTTTATATTTGGTCAGTTTACATTTTAGAGTATTTGCATTTGTACTCTAACCAAAACTAATATTTAATAATTGTTCTTGATAGTAATTTCATTCTATTTTTACAAGGAATTTTGTATATAATAATCTACAAGATAATTTGCACTTAGACTATAACTTATTTTTATCTTTATCTTTATTTTTAATATATTATTTTTAAGAGTAATACATTCAGTTGTAATTTATGCTTTATTTACTTCAGAGTATATTTAAAAATAAAACAGTATCTTGCAGACTAAATTCCATTCATTGTTTTCAATTACTTACTTGTACCTGAATTAGCGTTTCACACCTATATACTTTTGAGACTGTTAAGACTGTTCTCTTACTTTATTGTCAGTTCATACTCTCTTGATTGGAGTTGAATCCCACAACACTGTAAGCCTCTCATATAATAATCATAGTATCCTTAATACTGTCCTTACCTTATTTTACCATGAATAAATGAATGAATTCTAAATATTGAATTACTTTGAAGAAAGCATGGATTTTACAATATTTGAATGAATATCAACTTCTCTGTATCGTTCCAATTTTAGTATATGTGCTGCCGAAGCGAGCACAAATTTCATTCCTTTGTGACTTGTTTATTAAGTATTCTGTACGAGTCAGGGGTTCTAGATGTTCTCTGTCATTACAATGATTACTTTAAAAATAAATAAAAATAGATCCGGAGTGGAAGTAAAGTGTGTAGAGTTCTTATATGACCAATCGGGATTTGATCCCTGGCACCTCCAGACTCCCCTGAGCCTGCCAGGGGTGATTCTTGAGCACAGAGTTAGGAGCACAGTTCTAGAACCCTAGAGAACTGTTTGGTATGACCAGAAACAAACAAACAGAGTAAAATAAGAATTATCTGAACATTGAACATTCTGGTGAGTAGTTTGATAATGATGACTTGTTAATCCCCAAAATTGTTTTTTTTTGGTCAGTGGAGCTTGTTTGGTTGTTATTTATTTATTTTTTTGGTTGTTATTTTTACCTGGAAGCGTATGTCTAATTTACCTGTAGTGATATGATACTTCTTCAATCATACCCCAAACTGATTTATCAAATTTTTAAAAACTGACATTCACTTTGGGGTATATCACAGGGCAGATAAAATTGAAAGGAATGATTCTATTCTAATATTTTTCTCTTCAAATTTTTACTTTTATTAGATTTTTAGTGCAAATAGGACTTCATGGGGTTTGTAGTGAACTTTATGAACTTTATGTTTAAATTTTAAAAAAAGTATTTCCCTTTATCTTCTTTGTTTTTAATGAATTCTCTTGAAAATATTTCTTAACACCTCCACCTCATGGTCCTGCGTTATATGTTTTGTAGAGATGTTACCTAAAAGGATAAGGATGGGCACCAATGCTGTTTTCATATTCATAATGTGTAAATACACATATAGGATGTAACAGAGAAGACAATAAAAAACAATTGATTGCTCGAATATTAAATATTTACATATGTGGAATTGGAAGTACAAGACATATTTTAAAGTGTAGAATTTTTAAAATTTATTTTATTTTTTAAAATATTCTTCTGTTAGTAAAATAAATCATTACATTGTGAGATGGAAAGATGGTGTTTGAATTAAAAATTCAGAATTTATTTTTGACTTTTTTTGGAAGGGGCCACACTCAGTCGTACTCAGGACTTACTCCTGGCTCGAATTCAGGGATTACAACTGGCAGGGTCTGGCTAACCAGATGTAATGCCTGGGATCAAACCTAGATTGGCAATATGCCAGGCAAACACCTACCCATTGTAGGGTGTTCCAGCCTCAATTCAGAATTTATTTTTAAGAGGTACCATTCCTGTTACAATTTACATTGTGGTATATGTTTGTTATGCTTACTTTCCACACCTAAGTTATTTATTACAAGTCAAAATGCTTTGAATTCTGTATGTTGAATAGATGGATGAAAGCAATAAGAGCAGCTAGTGTATGACAGTAGACTGGCCAATATATATTTTTTATGTTTCATGTTAAAATATATTTTAAATTTGAGTCAATTTTTGGATCCCTTAAGACAAAATTTATCAAACATACCTATATATGCTTAAAATTAAAGTGTGAAAAGTGGTGCATTTGTACTTTACCTTTTTTTGAGAATAATATCATGTACTTTTAAATTATGTATCTTAAAATTTCAAGTTAATATTTATTCTTTACTTTTTATGGTTTAAAAACCATGAACTTGAAATATTGCCTGCAAAATATACTTCAAATACATGTGAGAAGTCTATGAGTAATATTAAAACTTAAGTGATATACTGAGAAATATATAAAACATACAGCCACTGGATTGAGAAAATAAAAATTAATATTATGAATGTTTTAGCTAACACTGGGCTTTGCCCATAATCTGGTGTTTATTATTCTGCGCTTTAGTAGGAGACAGAGCAGTATCAATTGGAAAAACATTTCATAGTGAATTGAGAACAGTATGGCCTTCTAGCTTCTAAGTGGGAAACCTGGTTCTTTGGTTTCTTTGTTCCTAGTTAAGCTAGTCCTAAGCTATTTTTACTGAACGTTTTACATACTAACAGAGTTGAGGGAAGTTTGTTGGCAGCTGTCCAAGGGATAATAATGAAATACATTATTTGGTAGTACATGATTATGCCATAAAATTTGGGGAGTATTTTGTAGAGATCTTGGTAAACAGAGCTATGTCCTCTTTAAGTTTCACGTGTGTTGTGAAGTTGAATGACAAGTAGAATTTTCATATGAGATGATAACTAGTACGCTTTTCTTACAGGTAAAGAAAACGTGCACAGAATCAGATGTTTCAGAATCTCAGAATTCCAGGTATGCTAAAATGGTCGCCAAGATTACACTATGAAAAGATTATACTATGGAAAGATTGGTAATTTTGGAAAATCGTAAGGTATTAAGTTCCATAAAGAAACGTGATGCTTAACCATACAATTTTTTTGTTTTAGTTGGTGATCAGTTGCAGTTTATTCCAATCTAGTCTTCCTCTGCCTCCTTCCAGTCTCACTTACTGTCCATATTCCTCATCCCCCAGCCCATTCCCACAGCCTAGTTAGAGAACAATAACCAGCAGGGTAGCAATTACGCATAGGTGAGGTAGCACAATCCATATGTGAAACCTTCTAAGACAACAATCTCATCCTGCTAGGAGATACTCTCAAGGGCAGATTTTCATCTAGGGGCATATTTCTCCTTTCCTTAGTCCATATACATTTAAATAATCATCTTAAATTTACTTCTTAATAATCTTTCTAGTTATTTTGTGTGGACACACTAAGAGATATATTAAGTTTATAGGGTGGTTTTCCTGGGGACATCTCACTATAGATCTCAGATTACAGTCCTTAAGGCAGATTAGCCTTTCCTAACCCGAGTAGGTTCACTTACTTCTTTTTGGATCATGACAACATTCCCATTTGTCCATGACCATGCTCTTAACTTATTATAAAGGCACTTGACCTGTCCCGTTACAATGCCAGATTAACTTATAGCTTGCCCTGAGTACATTCTATGTTGGGACCCTGCTTAGGCGGTGCTAGGAACTAAGGACAACTGATGCTTAAATTGAGTAAATATGACAGATGCCCAGGAGTAATTATTATTTTCAAATATTATTTGAAGTCCATTAACTCCCAAGTTATGAAGCATAGCATTAACTGTGTTCCTGTTCTATACAAAAAAGACAGTGCTCTAAAGTACACTCTGCAAAAGACATAAGGGAAACAATATTTTACTTCCAAACACAAAATCCAGGGTCCTTAGAAGGATCTGACCTTATAAATCACAGGTTCTGATTTGGGGGTGTAGGTGACTAACAGATAGGGGAAGCAGAGCACAAAAGAGAAGGTAGAAACAGGGAAATGGAAGTGCCCCTGCAGCACTGTGATGGATATAATGTAACCCAATAAACCCAAACTTGCAACAGGGCTGGAAGAGAAAGGATGAACCAATGTTATCCTACATGCATATACCAATATAATAATTTAAAGACTATTTAATTGCAATTATTATTTTTTAATTACCTTTAAGTTATCCGGATGTTTCAAAAGTCTACATATTCTCAAAGGCCTGAAGATGGAAATCTTATGGAATTTATGTTCATTTAAGTTTGTTATATTTTTTCTTCATCATGGAACTTATGCATTAGTGTATATTTTTGGATAACACATTAAACTAACACTAAATTTTTGGATCCCCATTTTAACTTTTGCTTTTTTTTTTTTTTTTTGCTTTTTGGGTCACACCCAGTGATACACAGGGGTTACTCCTGGCTCACGCACTCAGGAGTTACTCCTGGCAATGCTTGGGGACCATATGGGATGCTGGGATTCGAACCCCAGTCAGTCGCATGGAAGGCAAATGCCCTCCCCATTGTGCTATTGCTCCAGCCCCAGCTTTTGCTTTTTAAAATTTTTTTTTCTTATAGAATCACTGTGAGATACAGTTACAGAGCTTTCATGTTTGAATTTCAGTCATACAATGATCAAACACCCATTCCTCCACCAGTGCACGTTTTCCACCACCAATGTACCCAGTATCCCCCCTATCCCCTACCCTCCCCCTGCCTCTAGCAGACAATTCTCCCAATACGCTCTACTTTTTGGCATTATGGTTTGCAATACAGATATTGAGAGGCTATCACGTTTGGTCTTTTATCTATTTCCAGCATACCTATCTCATCCCGAATGATTCCTCCAGCCATCATTGACTTAATGATCCCTTCTCTACTCCAGCTACCTTCTCCCCAGCACATGAGGCAGACTGCCAACCCTGTCTCTACTGTTGTGGGGTGTCAGTGTCATATTATCTTATTTTATATTTCACAAATGACTGTAGTCATTCTATGTCTGTCCCTCTCTTTCTGACTCATTTCAATTAGCATGATACTCTCCATGACCATCAACTTATAAGCAAATTTTATGATTTCAACTTTCCTAACGGCTGCATAATACTCCAGTATGTAGACCAAAGTTTCTTTAACCAGTTATCTGTTCTTGGGCATTTGGGTTGTTTCCAGATTCTGGCCATTATGAACAATGCTGCAATGAATATATAGGTGCAAATATCATTTCTACTGTGCTTTTTTGCACTCTTGGGATGTATTCTCAGAAGTAGTATTGCTAGGTCATAAAACCATACAATCTTAATGACATAATGAATTGCGTGGTTGTGTAATTACATAAACAAAACCTAGAAGGCAACATCAATCATAACTGCTTGTAGTAGTGTATGACTTTGTTCTTTGACTTCTTGCTTTTTCCCCATGTACCATTATGCACATGTTATCTTTAAAAATATATATAATTTTAAGATATAATTTTTAAAACTGAAATATGTTATATTCCAGATACAATTGAGATTTTAAATGTTGAATTTATGAACTTATCTATGTGAAAATTTCAGTGTCCTAGTCAATGCGGTCATTAAATATGAGATTAATAGAAAGGATACTAAGTGAGGCCAGCAAAAAATAAAAAACAAAAAAGAACATATTTAAGGAAATACATTAATCATATTTTCTTTAGTATTTTTTAAGTTCACCTTAATTTTTTCTCTGCTTTCTTTTTATAATATATTTGCATTTTATATTTTTGTCAAAAGTGAAGTGACTTGAAATTTGTGTTTCCCTGGGGCTGGAGAGATAGTACAGGAGGTAAGGCACTTCCCTTCTATGTGGCAGACCCAGGTTTGATCCCTGGTTTCCCATGTGGTCCCCTGAGCACCACTAGGAGTTATTTCTTAGTGCAGAGCCAGGTATAATCCCTGAACACTGCTGGGTGTGGACCAAAAACCAAAAGTAAACAGAGAGCAATAATAAAAAACCCTGAACTAAAAACAAAAGGAAAAAATTTGTTTTTACCAAATATAGAATACAACATTTTTCCTTCTCAATTAGAAAATAAAAATTCATTTGGTATATTTTTGTTTTTATTTCTCAGAATCTTGAGAAATAATTAAGTGATTAGACCACAATGTTGTGTTTATAGTTAGATTAGATTCCCAACAGATTTTTAAGCCTCTATTTGTATTATTTCCATTTCAAATTTAAGACTAAATTTTAAGTGGATAAATAAAAGTATTTTAGATGCCACAACAAAAATAAACAGATGTACACATATCCTTTATGTGATTTAATGGTGTAAGTGTATCTTGCATCAAGAAATTTGTATTTGATGGGCAGATGCTCTTTACCAATATTGTAACCATATTATTCAGTAATTATAAAATATGAAAAATAGTAAGATGGCTCTTAGTTTATTCTATTTGCTCTAGTATATGATGTATGTGATAATTTTCTTGACATTATTAAACTACATAGATCTAGGTAAAATGACACTGAATTCTATTTTCCTTTTTGAAAACAAGTATATATTAAGTACAATCCGTTTTACAGTTTGACTATTTTATGTAGCATGTTACTAGAATTATTTCTCATATATTAAAAGTATAAAATAATATTTTCTTTGGGGGAAGTGTACTTATTTCTCATATATTAAAATTATGATATAATATTTTTTGGGGGGGTGAGGCAACATCCAGGGGTGTTCAGAGTCTACTATTGACTCTGTCCTCAGGAATTCCCCTGAGATACTCAGGAGATCATTTGCTGCGCTAAAGCATTGAACCAGGGATAAGCTGCATGTAGGGAAAGTGTCTTATACTCTCTCTCTCTCTCTCTCTCTCTCTCCTGTCCTGTCCAATATAAGTTTTTGTTTTATTTTTGATTTGGTTTTTTTCCTTGGTTTTGGTTTTGCACCACCCAGCAATGCTTAGCGGTTAGTCCTGACTCTTGCTCTTGCTCTGCACTCAAGAACTACTCCTGGTGGGGCTTAGGGAACCATAGGAGATGTCAGGAATAAAACCCTGATTGACTGTGTGCAAGGCAAACAACCTACCTGCTATACTATAACTTCAGCCTGTGAGATTTTTAACTATAACAAATGTTATTTAAAGGATCACTGTCACTGTCATTGTCCTCCCATTGTTCATCGATTTGCTTGAGCGGGCCCAGTAACATCTCCACTGGAGACTTTGTTGTTACTGTGTTTGGCATATCGAATACATCACGGGTAGCTTGCCAGGCTCTGCCGTGCAGGCGAGATACTCTCGGTAGCTTGCCGGGCTCTCCAAGAGGAGCGGAGGAATCGAACTCGGGTCGGCCATGTTGGCTGCATGCAAGGCGAATGCCCTACCGCTGTGCTATTGCTCCAGCCCATTTAAAGTACAATAATTCTAAAAATAAAATTCTACATAATGTTTTTTGGGGGCATGAAGTGTATATAGTAAGACATAAGATTTTTGGCATTTGATATTTGCCCCTATTATTAGTTATCAAGTAGACACAAATAGTTTTAGCTTATTGGTATGTTAGGAAATGGATGAACTGACATTTTTCTTGTAAAGCAGAGTAATTCCAGAGTGAGGAGGTGACAGTAATATAGTTTAGTACTTGTGGTAATTTCCTCTGGAAACCATTTATCATTTTCCGATTATATTGTTAACCTCTGTGAGTTATCTTCCAGGAGCTTGGTATTTAAGTATTCAGCTTTTGCAAGCAACTTGTATAGAGGTTTGGTAAATAAAATGTGACAATATAGGTATATTTATTATTTATATTTGTAATAGATTTCTTTACCTTGATATTACTCAAGGTCTTGGTCAAGCAATGAACTTAAGTAAATTTTAAACAGGTTAAAAAAAAAACACCATCAAACCAATTCAATGTTAACAATCAATACCAAATTGGAGACTGAACAGTTTAGAGTTAAGTGATTTGAACCTAGAATAAGATTCTTCTTTTTTTTTTCTTAGTC